GCATTTTCCTGAGCTCCCCCAAGATTTTTCTTTCGCAGTTAGGGGTATCTTGTTTTTTAGAATTCAATAGTAAACTACATCGAAATTCATCGACAGATTTCAAATTTCATCTAAAAATATGCATCCGCTCACGAGTTATAATGTTTTGAAAATTTGTTGCATGGTGCTAAAATTTTAGAAAAAATTCAAAACATTGTAACTCGTGAGCGGATGCATATTTTTAGATGAAATTTGAAATCTGTCGATGAATTTCGATGTAGCTTACTATTAAATTCTAAAAAACAAGATACCCCTAACTGTGAAAGAAAAATCTTGGGGGAGCTCAGGAAAATGCTAATTTTTTTCGCAAACTCCCATTACAAAAATCCTTTAATAAAAACTCATCATTTGATTCCAATATCATACCTCTATAAATTTCATCTGGGTCCCATAGTCTGAAGGTGAAATCCAGCATACTGAAAAATCCTGGATCCGCCGCTACTCGTAAAGAAAGTTAGTTATAATGCTGCTACTAACACATTTGGTGGATTCGCGACTCCACTCGAAAATGGTATTTCTAAATCTGGTTATTTTAAGACAGATTCTTTTGATGTGTTAAAAGAATGGTTCGAGAATAAAGATAAGTCAAACTATTTAAATGTTCATATGATGCAACCGCCCATTGAATCTAAACCATATACCTCACAATTCCTGCTTGCCGCATATGGGATCAGTAACAAATTTAAATCCATTGATATTCTTAATCAATGGATATGGATTTTTGAAAAGTCTCAAGAGTCAAACGTTCGTATTGTTGCTTTTTCTACGGATTGCGATCCAAGATACTTGTTAGCAATGCGTCTGAATACAGGTTTTTTTTTGCAAAACTTACTAATACTCCGTTGTATAATCGTAACGATATGTTAAAGATCCATTTACCAAAGGATTGGTCAGGATGGTTTTTTATGCCTTCCCATCAAGTTTTTTTTTGTTTTCAAGATCCCATACATTTATGTGCTAAACTCCGTAATCGTATGCTTTCTGAAATCGCATCACTTTTGATTGGGAAAGGAGAGGTTTCCATTAAAGTACTGAATGAACTTATAGAAACTAAATCGAAGTTTGTACATGGACTTGTAAAAACTGATATAGAGCCGAGCGACAAGCAAAACTATCAGTCTTGCCTCAAGATTCTGAATGAGGAAGTAATCAATGCTCTTGAAGACATTGATGGTTCTTTAGCCACACAAATTTATTTGCGCCTCTTGCGTAGTATAGCACTCGCCTATATTGACCATAATACATCGATAATCGATCGCATCTATCATAGTTGGCTAGCAGTCTTTATATGCCGTATATGGCAAACCTGGCTGCATTTAGTACATAAAGAAGACATTTCAGAATCTCATTCTCAAATGTCAAAAGAGAATTTATTTATTACTGTTCCTGCTCATTTTTCTATAGAAATGAATGCTCATAGCCTAGTTACAATTTGTTTACTTGTGCATCAGCAAGATTTGCCCATTTCTGCTCTTAGGTTTTCAAATTATCACTCATAGTCTTGCGAAGCAACTTTTCATAACTCAAGATCAATGTCAGGTGTTTTTTCTACAGTAGTTAATTTTACTACCGAACAGTTTCTTAAACGATCTGGTAAACTATCAGTACTTGCTGATATACAAAATCAGAATGAATCTGGTCAGTTAAGCTGTTCTTTACAGTTTCCTAAGCATCACAAGCGATGTCGACAAAGTGCTGCTTCTAAAAACGTAGTTCTGAGTGCGTCTATCCATCTTCTCACTTGTGATAATATTAAAAAAACAATTTGTCAAGCATATGATGATGCTTATGATCTACTATCTAAGCTTGATGTTCATATCGCTTTGAAGAAAGCAAAAAAAACTGAAATGCTTCAAGTGAGCTCCTTTGTACGAGCTCAGTTTGATAGAAAATTTAAAAAGGTCTCCTACGATGATGATGAATAGTATTTATCTGATAATGATGAATCAAGCTATAAATTCAGATGGGATATCAATACTGCAGCGGACTTAGATGATGATAGTTCATGTGATGATGAAACTGAAAATGTGTCTTCAATTTCAGCTAGTGGTAAATCTCAGTTTCATGGAATGAGAGTGTGCGACACTATTCCTTCCTCACTTGCGAAGTCCTACTTTCGTGTTGAACTTGATGGGAAAAAAAAATATTCACAAACAGACAGCCTGCTGGCTTTTAACAGATACTAATAATCGTTTGTCAGCTGATCGACTTAGACGAGTTCAACAAAGCAGTTCTTAGATTAATAAAAAGCTTGTAAGAAATACTTAGGAATATTTTGACATGATCAACTTCTGCTATTTTTTATTGCTTCATGTTACTTTTATTGATATTTCATAGTTCTCTTTTCCTCTATGTGATAAAAAACAAAAATTCTCTAATGTCTCAGTTGACTTGATACCAATCTTATTACAAGATGTATCTAAACTTCACATATCAGCAGATGTTTTTTTTTAAATTGACTCTGGTATTTTTCAGGGCTTATAATTGCCTGTCAAATTCATGGTAATGAATATCAAAGAGAAATAGAGCAGTGAACACGGGTTTACCGAAAGAGGTTCACATGAAAAGAAAATAGTAGGCACGGGTTTTCTGAAAAATGCCTAAAAATCAATGTATGGATGCGGGTTTACCGAGTATCATCCGAAGCAAAAATAGGTATAAATAGGCACGAGTATTCCGTATAAAACTTGCCTAAATTGTTTCAATCCATTTTGAATTTTTAAATTAAAACCACGCATAGCGAACAAATAAGGATGCGGGTTTTTCGAATACACATCCACCTCTTCGCAGTAGGATGGGCTCTACGTGCCGAAGAGGAGAAACACTGTCTGAAAGTAGTGGCCAACAATCCTGCATCTTTTGGTCAATCGCAAAATTAAGAAATAAAAGAGTTATGTTAATAAAAACAGTAAATTAAAGAAAGTTGGATCTTCTGATTTATTGTTTTATAGTTTTCTGTTATTTTCAGATACAATGAGGAACCCGCAAGTATGGTGGGAATTCCGGAAATTTTTTGGAGAATCCTTTGGGAATCCTGGAAATCCCATGGGAATCTCGGGAATCCGGTGGGAACCCAGGGAATCCCATGGGAATCCAGGGAATCCCGTGGGAATCCTGGGAATCCCATGGGAATCCCTGGAATCCCGTGAGAATCCTGGGAATCCCGTGGGAATCCTGGGAATCCCGTGGGAATCCT